AGTGGAAAACCTAGGGTTAGAATCCTACTTTAGCCATCAGATTAACCCCCAGCAAGAGCTCGCACTGTCTTAAAGAGCATCCATCTACCCCAAAGAGGGCCATCATTGGTTCCAACCCGGCCCCCCTATGAGGCACACAAACACACCCCATCCCCATGCAAGGCAAGTACTTCCATCCCAGCCCTCACCTTTCCTCTGCTCACCAAGGAGGTCTGCAGTCTCCAGCTCTGCTGAGAGGATATCCACTGCACCTGTGTGTTCTGACTGTATCATAACAATATCACCTGGTCCTTGAAGCACACGGTAGTTAGTCATCTGCACTATGGCTTCCTGTGCAGAGGACACAGAAAATTCCTCAGTAAACACATCACACTATGGCTCCTATGCCACCCCCCCCACACAAACACACAGCATTTAAAAAGACTAGCTACAGATGCAAAGAAAAGAAATAATTTCCCTCAACTCAAAAAGATAACCCTCTAGACTTCTGCTAGAAGTACATGATTTAGTGAATAACTGACCAGCCCTACCTTAAAGCAACTTTGTTTGCATGGCTTCCCCAAAGTTGTGTAACTGTCATCAAATGCTGTACTGTCCTCCAGTCTTTCTAGCAGTGAGCATTTTCACAGACCAATAACTCTGTTAGCATTCCCTCAGTGTTTGGGTCTATTACTGGTTTACATGGTAATATTTCCAGATTTCATTGGTCTCTCAGAACATATTCTGAAGGTGCCTCACAGGACCCAGCCAGCGACTACAACCACAGTGGTGCACTGACACTCAATATGAGCTTGTTAGAACCGTTGCCCAGTCCCCGATTCTCCCTCCTCTCTCGCACAAGTAGCGCTCTTGGAACTATAGTTCTCACTGCACAGCACTTCTCTCAAGTTGCATCTGAAATGCTGATAACTTGTCTGTCTTCTTCCAGTGAGCTGACAACCCTGCTCTTTCACATCCCTCTCAAGAGTCTAATAAATGTTAAAGTTAATTTGAAATGGAAGGGAATTCCCTGAAGCAGTCAGTCAAAAGCCAGTAGTTTAAAATAGCCTTGAAGCCATAGGAAAAAAGTAAGATCTGAAAGAGCACAGGAGCTAGTCCAAGACACAAGGGGAGAGAGAGAGAGATGGATTGTAAAGATTAGACTGCTGCTCTGTACATTGTGGGGGAGGTAAGAGAAGGCACAACTAAACCTCTGTGTAAGCACTGCTTTCAACTCAATCCAACCTCTACAGCAGTGGTTCTCAACCAAGATGCCATAAGAACTTCTCAGTAGTGCTGCAACACAGATACCATGCCTACAGCAAAGTGAAACTTCCCCTACGTGTCTTGGTTTTCAGGAGAAAACAGTGTCTGCTCTTACCACAGCTTGTCCTAGTCTGGTCCCACATGCACTTCTTGGAAACAGAGGTCTGTGGGACAGCCCCCCTTGGCAGCAGAAGCACCTATCTCCAGGCAGCTATGCCACCTCTGCCACCAGGTGGAACTCTCCTACTGTGCCCTTGTTTCCGTGCACATGGGACTGGACCAGGAAAGGCTGTGGCAAGACAGACTACTTTTGGCTAATTAAGGTTATCCCTATGCTGTTTTCCTAAGTTTTCTAAGTATGCCTGGGTTCCACCCCACTCCAGAACAGCTGATGCTGGCTCAGTCTCCAAAACAGCCTATTTCCTCACTTGCCCAGCTCTCGCCATTTCTCAAGAACCCTGTGGGACCTCTGGGGTCAAATCTACAAGACACAGGGCAGACTGGGTAAAGGCGTTCATTGTCCTTTCTACTCATAGCATGCTGGGGGAAGAGCTGTCTCTGTGACTGCAGCTGACATAATGAACAAGTTTGTTATAAAAAAGCAAAAAGTAATGAAAGTGTAACAGAGAATGAGTGTGTGTGTTCAGAAAGAGAGGCACTTGAGGGAAGCACAAGTTTGAGTAGTGATTTTAAAAAGAACCTGAAAGCAGATGAGCTAAGCTAGCACAGTGAAAAATGTCTAGCCATGGGTTTTACTAGGTATGGAGATGAGCATTATCCCAAACCTGAATACACCATCTGCAGTGAAAAATTATTTAAATCAAGCTATGGACCTAAATAAGTTGAAATGCCATTTCTCTACAAAGCATGGATACCGAAAAATAAGAGCTAGGAATACTTTTAAAATACTTAAATTCAAGAAAAAGTCCTCAGACTTTGTGAAAGAGAGAAAACTTTCTGACAAGGCACAAAAGGCTAGTTACAAGGTTGGGGAAATCGATTGCTAAATAAATGAAAGCTCTTACAGTAGGCGAGACATTGATACCTCTGGTATGCAAAGAAATAGTAAGAATTATGTCTGGTAGTGAAGCTGAAAAAGAAATAAAGTAAAATCCCACTGCCCAATAATGATGTGTCAGAGGATACCAAAAAAAAATAAAATGGAATACCTTCACTCTCTAGGTGGATGAATCAACAGATTAACAACAGAAGTGAAAATGGATGAATCAACAGAAGTGAAAAATGCTAGCACTTAGCTTTCATTTGTTTTGTTGATGGAAAAACAACAGAACAATTCTTCTATTGCAAAGAACTCAGGTGAGACTACAAGAGGATGTTTTTGACACAATGGATTCTCACTTGAAATCTTTGGATTTATCTTGGGAAGCATGTGTAGGTGTTTACACAAATGGTGCTATCACTATAGTTGTATCACTAGGAGAGTGTTTCAATTGTGAAGAAACTGAATCCAAGTGTTATTACACCTGACTGTTTCTTTCACTGAGAAGCTCTTGTTGCAACAACCATGTTCTACAAATTAAAAAGTGTGCTCAACCAAGTTGTAAAAGTCATTTGTGTTAAAAGTAGGCCAAAGTTTCTTCTTTTTTCAAGACTGCATGAGACAATGAAACCTGAACGTGTCAGTCTCATGTTACACACAGAAGGTGGTTATCTAGGGGAAAGGTTTCGTCTCAAGTTTACAAGCTAAAGGAGGAAACTTTACATGTTTTACACTCAAGCGCTTACCTGACTCCTACAATTTGCTGAGCAATGATACCTGGTGCTCTAGAGTATCTTGTTGACATATTATTGCATTTGAATAAAGCATATACCAGCATGCAGGGCCCAAATCAGAATATTTTAACTTGTTCTGATAAATTTTGTGCCCTGCTAGATAAGATTCAGATCTGATATGCAGGAGTTAATGTTAGAGAGCCAGAAATGTTCCCTCTAACAGCTGCAACAAATAATGTAGAAGTGCTGCCGCTGATATCAGAACACTTGAAATTGCTAGAAAAAAAAAAGATTTAAAAAAATACTTCCCGGATGCAGATGTTGCAGAGTACGACTGGGTGAAAAACCCATTTACCGAAGCTTCAAGAATCAGGGGATTCACTCTGCCTTCAGGAAGAACTCAGCAATATACATAAAGATCAGACCCTAAAACTGCAACATGATGGATGTACCTTTGGATAACTTCTGGGCTCAGCTAACCGACCAATATCCCAACGTTTCAAAAAAAGCCGTATGAATCTTGCTGCAATTTTCAACATCGTATTTATGCGAGTTGGGGTTCTCTGCTTTAACAAACACAGAAAACAAGAAGAGAGAAAGACTTCTTTCAGAAGGAGAGGAAGTGAGAGTATGCCAGTCTTCAATTTGGCCAAGAATTCAAGATATCTGCAAGAACTGCCAGGCTCAATTATATCACTAAGTATCATATTATGTTTTTTCCTGTTAGACTAAAAAGGATGTTTCCAGTCATATTATTTTTATGCCCTGTAACATATAACTTTGTTTTTGAGATTGGGTTCCACTAAATTCAGAAGTTATGGAAGACTGACCCAAGTCTAAAAAAGTTGAAAACCACTGCTGGACAGGCTCAGCACCAGAGGGAAGGAAGTGCTACAACATGTAAGCCTCTGCTTTTAGAGATAAGAAGTAATGACCTACCTCCTTAAGGGGCTGTATCTGGTCAGCAAGCTTCTCACCAGGTCTGGCCACAACCTGGTCCTCTGATGCATCATCCTCTCTTCTCGAATTCTCTACAGAGCCTGTATTTATCGGTAATCCAATCTGTGGCCTCTCGGAGAAAAACAGCACGTCAAGTCAGGATGCTTGAAGATAATGGTACAGTCACTCAGCTAACTAAAGCCATGTTAGGAACCAGCACACTCAGAGGCTGGAATTCAAACAAATCAAGGATATTGGGCTTCCCATTGCCAATAGTCACTACTGGCTGTTACTCATGTTCTGCTCTCATCTGCAGCTGGCTTTATCCTCTTAGCTCCATCCAAGCCACAGTGAGCAGTTCTGCTGAGCTCACTCCCAATGTACTGTCCCTTAGGTAGTAGTAATTTACTCCAGCTGATCCCAGGTATATTCCCTCCCAGCTGGCTACCTTGCTAATGCTGCACTAAAAGCAGGCAGCAATATCTTCTCTAGAGCCAGAAGTCAGTTTTTCTAAGCCAAACCCAGGATGGCAGCTACACACTACATCACATGTGCCCTCCATGCCAAAGTTTTGGAGAGACCAATTTAAGGACATTCTTAAGTGTGCCTTCTTGTCAGAATTTTTCCCTCTAAAACCAAGAGCTGGTAATAGAGTGTCCACTTTGTGTTACACAAAATGTCAAATATGGCAAGCCAGCAGCCATGTAATGACAAGACTAAAACACATATATAGAACAAGGACCTATCCACAAGAGAGAAGTGGGAATGGAAAGTCGGACCCCGGGAAAGCTGCAACAAGAGTAAGAGAATCAGACCTAAAAAGCAAAAGCCCTTTTGCCTTCATGTTCCGTATGCCCTATTCTTCCCACCATATTGAAATTCCCCTTCAAGTCATAAGCATGTTCATTGTACTTCAGTCCATCTCTGGGCAGGCATTCATCACAACTAAGATTAAAACAACTGTAAACCAATTGAAATTAAAACAATTGTCAGAGAGAGAAGAACTAGCGGTCAGCACTAAATGCAACTTTCACAGAAAGTGATTTAACATGTACTGTAATCCGAGCAGAAATGGCCACTCTAAATAGCAAACCCTTGTTTTTATCGATGAAGCCCATGGCCAACCATGTTGGTCTAATATACATGATTGACCCAATGTGAAGAGGCATGAAAATCACTAGTGATGAAAAGAAAACTGAACATGTAAGAAATGCATTTGAAGAATTACATATTTTGAATAACAGAGTCAAGCTGTTCCAACTTAAATGGACAGTGTAAAATAAAGCAAAAGACCAGTCTACATGCCTTCTTTGCTGGTCTGTAAATAGAGAGAAAGCAAGATCAAGACAAACATGACTTTTCTGGAACTCCTTTAGGTACAGCCTTGGACACTGAAATCAGAAGATCCAAGATTTCAGCAAAATCCTCCTAGCTCCATTTCTATCATTAGAAACAGCATACCCCAATCTCATCTTCCAGTAATTGCTGGTTCAAATGGTTTGACTGTCAGAACACACACGTATGTGTTGTTAGGTTGGTTGGTAGATAAAGGAACAGTTAAAAAGGAATAGTTTAAAAACTCTCTCTTGTATCACCCTGTTTATGACCCCCTCCTTAGAAGCCCAAAGCAGAAAACTGATTGCACAGATCACCACTTTCCACTGAGTTTTTGCTTCTTAGGCATCAGCTGTGTAGCACAGACCCAGATGGGCCATTGGCATGCAGCTCCCCAGGTATTTCTAGAGTCAGATTCAAAAGGCTTCCCACGAATACTGAGGCTAATTGAATTAAAAAAAACCCAGCAGTGAAACTTCAGGTTTCTGTGGAAAGTGTTAATGCAGTTGCACAAACTTTGCAAGCCAACTTAGAAGAAGAAAGTCAGTTGGACTCCCTTTTCACACCTCCTTTTCATAATTTGCCACCTCTTTCAAAAAGAAAAAAAATTGATAACACAAGCAGGTTTATCAGGAATCATCCATGCAGGTTTTATGTTACACTGGGATTCCACTCATTGTCCGATTCATTTTTCTGAAGAAATTAAATTGCAAAATTACTTAGAGTTCATGATAAAAATCAGAGATTAAGGAAAAACCCTGTCTGGCTGCTGCAAATTTCATTTGCTTCAAAGCCAGCACTACCACAAACTGCACAGGGTTTGTGAAGGTTACTTTTAGAAGAAGATGACTAATGACTAGCAAGACCCAAAGCTGCACTGACTTAACTCATACCTTTGTAAAAACTTTGTGCATGTGGGAGGGATCACATGAAACCTTTAACACTGGTTAGGAAAAGCATATTGCGTGCATCTCCAATGACCACAAGCAACCCAACAAGCCAGGACAGCCCACTAGCAAACCAATAACAACAAACCGAATATTAAACAATGTGTGCACAAGTACTACTAAAAAAGCCCATTAGCAAAGAAGCAGGTTTCCTGTACAGTTTCCATGTGAATTGCATACAGTGAGAATTTTTTTGGGTTTAATAACTGAAACATCCCTCTGCTAAGAGTTCAATTTTCTGTTGACAGTTTGCTCTTTAATTCAAACAACCTAAGTTACGTTACGGACTTCACTATTTTATGAGCACTAAAATAACCTCGAGTCAAGAGCAACTGCTCCTCTAGTGTTGTCTCTACAGCAGTGGGGGCCAAACTTTCTGGCAGGTCCCCATGAGTCACTCTGATCCCCTTCCTCTGCTTCCTAATTTCCTACTCTGCTTTTCGCTTACCACCCTGTGCCCCCTGCCTGATCTCCTGCTCTGTGCCTTTTGCTCCCAGCCCCATCTGCTGCTGTGCTGCTCCCAGATCTGCTGCATGCCACACAGGGGCTGCCCTTGCCACTCGTGGCACTCTTGGTACAGGCTGACCACCCCTACTCTGCTGCATCCAGCATACCAAACCCAAGAGCAGAAAGTTCATGTTTCCAATCCCTTCTCTCCCCCTGGAGGAACAGCTGCCTGCAAGAGACAGACTGCCCTCCACTTCCCTGGTTTTGCATAACATACGATGGATGCCCTCACACAGCAATCTTTTCCTACCTGCATGGCAAGGCCTTGGACTCCAACAAAGCGACTGCAGGTTCAGGATTTTGGGCTGACGACTCATTATCTAGCAATGGACAGAAAACAGGAGAATATGAAATAGCCTTTACTTTGAAAATACCAGACAGAAGGGCAAAGCTACAGCCAGTGCTCTTAAAACAGGGGAAAAGATTAAACTTTTCTGGCACAGAACACAGGGATCAAAATACGTTTTTTTTCAGCTGCTGCCCATAACCGTCTCAGACATACTGACCAAACCCAAAGCTCAGCAATTAAATCCGAGTTGGCAGTGCCCTGGGAAAACCCACCCTGCACCAGCTGAGAGCATGACATGGATCAGATGGACCTAGAGGGTCCTTCCCAATATCTGAATAAGGCTCCAGGTCCCATCCCCATCCTCCTCTAAAATACAGGGCAAGCTCTGTTACCATAGGACTGCGGAGCACATGTTAGAGTTTTACTGAAGTGATGACATTATCTAGAAGGCAAACTGGCACCCAGAGCTCCCAGCTCCAAGGTGCACGTGGCAGCAGGGATTCATCTTTACTTCCTTTTAGAAAAAGAGCTGACTGTACTTGTGGCCGCAGGAGATTGGACTTGAAGGCCCAAGTGAGTGCAGTGAAAAATGGAACAGCCCTACAGACTCAAGCCCTGACCTACACACCAGTGTCACCCTGGCTGCTTTCCTTGCTAGGAATGCACCTGAGCCCTGACCAGGGGAGACTTCCTAGGTTGATTTAAATCAAATCCACCCCATCGTTTGCTGATTTCATTAGTTACCGGACCTAAGACAGTTTAGAAAAAACAGCTCCCACATGTTCTTGACTGCATGCTGGGCCCTGGATGAGCCTCGGGCATCGGGGGCGGGGGAAGGAGACTTCTGCCCGAGGGAGAAAGGAGCCCTCGGGCCCGCACTGCAGGAACAGGAGGACGCTCCACCCCTGAGCCGAGGGCGGGCTGAGGCCGGCCCCAGCGCAAAGGAAACCCCCGGGGAGGCCCAAAGGCGGCCTGGCACAGCCGGGTGTCCTGCCCCGAGCCAGGAGGCAACAGCACTGCCCCCCCCGCGCCCGGCCCCAGCATGACGCGGCGGCCCCAGCCCCGCCTGGTTCGG